CTTGCCCTCGCTGCCTTGGCCTTTGCCCTTCAATCCTTCCCCCTCTGCCTGGCTCAGTTCTGCTTTGCTGAAGCCACTGCTGCTTTTGAATTGAGCCATTTGACTCTGTTGCAGGTAAGCTGTAAACCAAATCGAGCCAAACCAATTCAACCACCACCACAAGCAACTTATCCAGTTATTTTGTTTGTTTGTTTTGGGCAGTGGAGGCGGAGGCAGTAGGGGCCTTGTATATTATTACAAGGCACATATTAATCTGCCTGAAGAGTCAGTTTGCCAAGGGGTAAGCAGCAAACAGGGTGGTGTTCCTCTGAGCAGCACAGACTGGTCATTGAGCATGTTCAGACCCAGGAACAAACCTATGAGGCCACCTTGGTAAATCTAGAAGGCTCTGGTCCTTTAACTAGGTCATCCACACCTACCCCTTGTCGTTGGCACCCAAAAAAACACAAAATCCCTGGATTCTTTCACTTCCTCCTGTGGGCTTGTGTTTACTCAGTCCCCAACCTTGGGGTTCTGTCTCCCACTCCCAGTGAGGACTTGTCGTTGGGCCTGACAATTTATTTTGCTTTACACTGTTTCACCCTTAGCACTCTTGCTCCTTCTCTGTCTATCTCAACCTCAATCTCAGTCAAGGTTTTGGAATTTCCCTTTGGTTCCCTCCATGCCCAGTGCCATATTCCTTCTAAACAAGGCCTATTCCTGTCACCCAATTTGGTGTGTTTGCCTCAGCCTCGTATGAGGTCAGACATGCTCCATATTGTAGCATTTGTTATAAATACTGGTTTTGATACTTGGGGCTGGGAGATAGACTTGCTCTCTTCATATTTCAGTGTTTCAGGGAAGGGAAAGGATTATTTTTCTTCTTTATTTTTGTGTTAACCAACCTGGCTCATTCTACCCCTTTCCACCTGTTGCCTCTGGTCTCCCAGTTTGAAGGCTGACTCCTGAGTGCTTGATTGGTTCGTTTTCCCCTCAAGGGCCCCACACACATATCTACAAATCACCATTCACGACCTGGGTCAGTTGCCAAAATGCTTGATGCTTCCTTCTGAATCTCTGAATGTATCTGACAATTCATCAAAACTAAAGGCTAAACTTGGGCTGATGTCAGTAAACAAGAAGGAGCTTTGGTAAGTTCATCAATTAAGATTATACCTGAAGTTCTGGTGTGGACAAGAGATATTTATTATCTTTTTAATCTCTGTGTCTTCTGATGCATTGCCATTCGATGTCTTCTCAATGTTGGCGGTATATCTACCCTCCCTACCCCATCCAGAACGCAAGTTCCTTCAGGGCATGGACTTGAACTGCTCATACTCATAGCACCTAAAACGGTATTTGGCAAGTAGCAGGCAGCCAATCAGTGTTTGTTGAATCCTGAATGAATGGATGGATGAATGAATGAACGAAGGAATGAATGAAAAGCAGGATAGAGCTGTGGTTGGACCACAGCCTTTGGCATGAGGAAATCCCAGTTCCAGTTTTGGTTATGCCACTTCCCAGCTATGAGACTTCTCTGAATTTCAACTTCTTCAGCAATAAAATGGGGATAATAGTACTTACCTCATAGGTTTAGGGGGGAGAGTTAAATAAGATATTGCATATATAAGTTAATAGCACAGTAGCTGGCATATTTTCAGAACTTGATCAATGCTGACAGTTGTGTCTATTCTTTTCAGTGAATATCCCCAAATATTGAAGCTTATTAGAGGTAATTGAACTAATTTAATATGACTAGTAGTGATGATTGCACTAAAGACAAATTAGTTTAGTTAATCTGTCAGTGAGATTTTACTTAAAGAGCCAAGTTGAAAAAAAACATATACGTATTGGTCACACCCATCATGCTTAAAACACTATACTAGGCTTTCAGGGGTGGGCACATACGATAGATATGACACAGACCCTTCCCTCTAGGAACATAAACTCCAGGGGACTTACTGTGTTTGTAGTACTTGCTTAGTACACATAAATATGAGGCATTGTTACCTCCCACATCATCTGATTTACTCCCCATGCTTTGCAGAAAATTATTCTACAACACTCAGTTTCTCTTTGAACCCTTTTGATGACAAGAAACCCGCTGCCTCATGAAACAGCTCATTCTGCTTGAGAACAGTAATCACCGTTAGAAAGATCTTCTTTAAAATTAGGACAAATCTACCTCCCTATGATTTCTACACATTGATCCAACTTCTGCCTTCTAAACACACCCAGAATAAATCCATTCCTGCTCTGTGTTATCAGAGGTCAGCAAGGTAAGGCCTGCAGGCCAAATCTAGTCCACCATTTATTTTTGTAAATAAAGTTTATTGGAACACAGTCAAACCTCATTTGTATATTGTTTGTGGCTGCTTTTGTACAATAACAGGGCAGATGGAACAGAGAACTTATGGACCACAAAGTTGAAAATATTTACTCCTTGACCCCTGAAGAATTGTTTTTGACCTCTGCTCTACGTGGCAGACCTTGAAACACTCAAAGACAATTAGCATGCCTTCTCCTTAAGTGGGAAGCTCAGATCTGAGCCTAGAACTCTAAGTGGGAGCTAATGGAGGTGGAATGGAGTAGCACTATCACCTTCCTTGTTCTGGACACCATACTTCCAATGATGTGGCTGCCCAATGTGCATAGAAGCCAATAGTATGGCACCGGCTTTTGAGAAAGGAAAAAGCTTCATTGCGAAGTCGATCAGAGAAGAGACAGGAGGCAAGGCTCAAATCTGTGTCTCTGATCAAGGATTTGGGGCAACTTTCAAGGGGTTAGGAGGAACAGGCTGGTGTCCAGAAGCGCTGGCAGGGCAGGTTTCCTTTGGAGGGGTTATAGCATTTGACCATTTATAGTAAGATGTGGTAAGGGGCTTCAGCACAGATCTTCCTGGACCCTTCGCTTCTGGAAGGGTTCCAGCATTCCGGTTCCGGTCTTGGCCCTGTCCTTTGCCTCCATGGCAGGGAGAAAGTTTGGTTCTGAGTGTAATCGACAGTGTTCTGTCCTCTGCACGTGCTTTGGCTGCGTGACGCAGTTTTGCTCTGTTGTCTCTGAAAAACAGATCGGTATCTTGTAAGAAACAGGATAGTGCCAGTTTGAGTTGGTTCCACTGTTACAAGGCCAGTGATCAGGTTGGCCTTTAACTGACACATAATACTTGAATGTATAAAGGAATGAGTCTCTGAGAGAGCTTTTCCCGTGGAGCTTCTGTTAAATTACACCTCCCCACCCTGTAGTGGTGGTGCCTGATGTTGGAAACTATGTACGAAGCTGGACATCCCTGCAGCCCGTCCAGAGTAGTCAGGACACAATTCTGCACATAGTCAAGGGCTGTATTGTCGGATCAGAGAGGAATCGTGCCAGATTCAGCTAGGATTTTTAAGAGAATATAATAAAGAGGCCATTTACATACCTGTGGACAGGGTTGAGAAAACTGATGAGGGAATTGGTCACCTCCATCTCTTCATAAAGGGGAATGGGAAGAGAGAGATTTTGCTCACACCCAGTGATAGCTGGAGCCATGGAAGGGGGTCTGCCCAGCTGGAGCTGTGGATGGAGACACAACCACTGTCGGAACTAAGCCCCGAGGAGGGCAGGGAGCAAAGGCAGCAGTCACCTGACGTGCTCGTCTCCCATCCTCCAGAGCCGCGGCTGGACCCCAGCTCAAAGCTAGAGGGCCGGAGAGCCACAGCAGCCCCCCGGCACAGAGCAGGACCAAGAGCAGGCGCTGAATTTGAGACAGAGAATGACAGGAGCTAAATGGCGTGCCGGGCATTTTTTAAATGCCAAAGGACAGATGAATGAACCAAGTGAGCCCAAGGCTTGTCGTTCAGTAAATGTTTGTTGAACTGCAGAAATGAGTGGAAGCGCCCTGATCTCTTTTATGGACTCCTGCCCCAGAGCTCTCGCTGCTGCTCTGCCTTCCGGACTCCCACCCCCAGTGCAGCCCTCGTCCTGTGCTCCCTCCCTCTGCATCCTGCCCCAGACTCTGCTGACCCCTCTGGTATCCCGCAAGAACATAAAAAGAGCCTGGATTTTATTTAGGAAGTAACAGAGCAGAGCAGGAGTTGTTCTGAACGAAACTCCAACATTATCAAAGAGAGGGTGTTAAGCCCTGAAAGGATTCTCAGAATCTAAAGTACATTCTGGGATGTTCAGAGTTTTTAAAATGAAAAATTCAGCATCTCTGCATTCTACAGAAAAAAATTGCTGGCTTCTCAGAAAGCTGCCCCAGACATTTGTGTTACAAGCTCCGGGTTCAACAGACACCTCATTACCAAGTGCCTTGTGGCTGACCGTTTTATGCTCAAATGACCCTCATCATCTCACAGGCTTTTATTGCAAAGATATCTGGGCCCTCCATTCATTATGCCGGTGGCGGGACTGTTGGGAGAGCGGGGTGTGCGAGAGACACATTCTCAACACGAAGTCCCTGGTAGCCTGTCACTTCCTCCATCAGCTGAATCAGCTCAAGTGAATATAGAAAATATTCAGCACTCAGTTCTTGGAGGGATATAATCTTGAGGATTCCGGATTTTGAAGACATAGAAATTATTTGAAACCATTGTGGGGCTTGCTCCTCTAGTTAAGATTGTTTGTTTTTGCGTGCAAAGTGCAAGATGAAATTTGGCACTAAGTTCAGAATGTTCTTAAGAAAACATGCTGAAATACTTAAGTATCATTCCCAAATGATTCAGAAAAAATAATAATTTGTGTATACAGGGAAGAAAAAGAATGATAAGTGTGGCAAAATATTAACAATTAGGGTATCTGGGTGGAGAGTAGATGGGAATATTTTTTTACTTTTTTTGCAACTTTTCTATAAGTTTGAAATTACTTCATAATGAAGTTGCCAGGAAAGTAACCCCCAAACCCCAGCACTGTCATGTCTGTCACCAAAGTGCAGTGATTTCAGTCACACTGGGGCTGCAAGTTGAGTCAGAAATGGCATCTCCCATCTTTTTGTCATCTTTGAGTTAAAGTGAATCATTTCCTCTTTCAGCTACAAGAACTCTCATCTTCATGGAGGTTAACGCTGAGGATGCTTTGCACATGAGCCAGGAGGTAAGGGGAACTCGATCACATGCCCCTCTGTCACACTGATGTCACTCTCATCCGGGCTAGGGCAGAGGCTCCACTCTGGTGGCTCCCAGAGAGAATTCCAGCCCAGTCAATGTCCACACTGTTGCCTTTTGCTCTTCTCAAAGACCCTTTCAATCTCCCCAGCCCGCCCTGCTCAGAAAACCCTTCTCTGCTTTTCTCAAAGAAAATACCAAACTATTAATAGCTGATATCACTGAGTAGTGCAATTATGGGAGATTTTTTTATTTTCTCTTTATATTTTTCTGTACTTGAGAGACTCTCAACAATGACTGTGTTATTTCTTAAATTAGAAAAAGAAATACTATGTTTGTTTATATTTTCCTAAGCAGTTCTACATGAATTCTTGCCATAGCTTTCTGGGCCCCCTTCATCTTCCTAATATTGTTGCCACTGCATGTCCCTTCCCTCCTGACCCATTGACAGACCTTATGGAAAGACTCATCTATGATGGGCTTTGAATCTTTCCCGCCAACCATCGGCAAGGAAAACACTCTATAGCCCTAAGACCCACTGAGCCCCAGTCACAGTCTGCTGGCTGGACTCTCACAAGCTGTTGGTCTCCTCTCCCCACCTACAACATCCGACGGCCATTGCGGAGCTGGACTTGGCAGAGAAGTACTTAACTCACACATTCCCCCTTCATACCAGCTCGCACACCATGTCTCTATCCCGCCTTCCTAGGATGCTAGGCCCAGCTGACAAATAGGTCGTGATGTGTTATGACTATTTTGCAGTTGGAGAAACTGAGCCTCAGGGCTTTCCTCCGTATATACTACAGTGAAATGGGATTTAGATGCCCCCAGACCAACTTGACATGTGTAACACGTACAACCTTGAGGGTGCACTCCCTCTTTTTCAGAGGAACTTATGGACTCATGGAGATATGAAACTGACTAGGCCATTGATCAAAAGAGAATTCTAGCCAAAATTATGCTAAGATTTCCTGAGGCCACCACAGGGTATTTTCCAGTCTTCCAACATTGGAAAGTGATAGCCCTTCGAGGGCTATCGTACACTTCAGTGTCAAGAACCAAGCCTGAGCTTTCCCTCTGGGTCAGATTTTCTCAGCTTCAGCACTGTTGACATTCTGGGCCAGATCATGCTTTGTGCTAGGGACTGTACTGTACATTGTAGGATGTTTAGCAGCATCTCTGGTCTCTACCCACTAAATGTCAGTAGGACACTAACCCACCCAACTTGTAACAACCAACGATGTCTTCAGATACTGCCCAGGGTCCCACAGACGACAAAGTTTCCCTCCTAGTGGTGACAACAAAATGTTTCCAGACGTTGCCAATGTCTCCCCCAGGGGAAAAGTGGGGAGATCAAAAAGCTTTGGCTCAGCTGGACCCTGCAGCCTAATAGCCCTGCCCAGGAGTATTGGCAACATTGCAACCGGTAAATCAACCCAGCTGGCTTCTCTGAGTTTCCTTCTCCATTCTGGGCTTCTGCCCCTCGATGCCACGTGAATCATGAGATTTGTTGAAGGAAAGACAAACAGGAGAGAACAGGGTAACATTGAATCCTGGACCAGCCCTTCCCTTTGTGAGGTTGAAGAGATCCAGAGAAGCACCATGTAGTCTGAACTGTGTTGCAAGGCACCGGAGGGATTTGGCTGCTATTTTTCCTTTGTGTGCATACTTATTTATAGACCACAGTATTGCACAAAAGATTTGAGAATTAGTCTCCAATTTATTTTATAAAATTTGATGGTTTTTTAAACAAATAGGCATGCATTCTAGGCAGTGGCTTAACTAGAAATCCCTCCTTCTTTTCATCAGAGTGAAGAGAGGGAGAGGTGACTTACCCACGCTACCAGCAGGCTAACTGGAAGCCCCAAGAGTAAATCCCGAAGCTCCAAGGTTGGTATCTGCTCTTTCTGCTCATCTCCACCTGGGCCTCTTATGCCCTAGTTGATCTCCTTTCCCAGCATCCAGCACCCCCCCATTATCCTCCACTCTTTACCCAACCTGGTGTTTGGTTTGCTAGGCTGGGTCTGATGCCAGTGGGTATCTGTGAAAACACAAGCGAGGACCTGAGAGCAGTTGCATGGCCATCCAAGAGAGACAGAAACGCAGCTCAGTACTGGGGTGAAAAGAACATCTAGAAAGCAGTGTTCATAAAAGAATTCAGAAGAAGAAAAATCCCCCAAATTAGGGGAGATTAGAATTAAGAGTAGAAATACAATTTCTGTCTGAGACTCTGCCCAAGTGCCACAGTCTATTCTGTGGCTTTCAGTCTGATTTCTGGGCTCTGTGACTGAACTGTTAGTCCTTCAATCGTGTACCAGTGGTAACAATTACTCCCTAACGACCTGTCCCTGGCAGTCCTCTCTAGGGTGGATCAGAGCGCCACTCTGACTAGCATGCCAGCTTCTTTTGTAAGAGATCAGCATCCTTTGGGCTCTTCCCATTCCAACTCTCCCCTCTCCAGCCCCTCCCACCTCTACTTCCCAGGCTCTTATTTGCACATTTGTGACCTCAACTCTCCCCAGACAGCAAGAGGCTGGGAGGAACCTAGAAGCAGCCCCAGGCACTGGGGAGGATGTGCCCATCCATAGAGTGTGCTTTGAAGTGAGTCTAAAACTCTAGACCCATGATCTTGTTTTTTTGCTTTGCCCATTTTTAAAAAATGTATATTGTTGAAAGTATTACAGATGTCCCCTTTTTCCCTCCCACTGACACCCTCCACCCGGCTCCCGCCCCCTCCCCAGGCCAACACAGATGGGAATGTGGTTGTTGAGGAAGCCACCAGCAGTGTCTGCCACACTCAGTTAGACACAGGGCTGTGAATAGAGAGAGAGGGGCTTTCCTCTCCTCATCTCCGGGGCAGCCTGTCAAGGAAGCCCCACCTCCTTGGCCAGGTCAGATCTGCCTGCTGTTGGCTCTCAAAGCACCTGCAGAGCTCCTTCTTAATACTTGCGTCATTTAATGTGTCTTATTAGCTGCTCTCTTCTCCCTCAGACTAAACACTAGGAGGGGTTTTTAGCACAACACTGTATTCTCAGGACCCTGCCCAGGCCTGGTGCATCATAGATGCTCAGTGGACATTTGTTTTAAATGGATGGATGGATGGATGGATGGATGGATGGATGGATGGATGGATGGATGGATGGATGGATGGGTTTTCCAGTCACCAAACTAAGCCAACCCTGGCTTTTGCATTAAAAAGGGATGAATCCAGGTTTTCCTTCTTCCTCCCTGTTGTCACTCAGTGAGTCTGCACTGGGAGTATTTATTCCTCCATCCCCAGACCCAGCCCAACTAAGGACACTGGCCATTACATTTTTTAATGGACAGGTGGCTTTTCTGCTAAGAGAAAGCTTCTGAGGGAAGCCAAGTGAAAGGGAAAGAAGAAAATATAGTGAATATAAGCCAGTAAGAGAGTCAAGTAATTATCTGGCTGGATACTTAGCCCAGAAGTTTTGAGCAAAGAAACAAGTTGGAAAGAACATACTGTACATGAGTGAGGAAGGGCGCTGATTAAATCCGGTAGAGACAGAATGTGCTGGTACGAGATGCAGCAAAGCAAGGGAGGGAGGGACTTGGGGACTGGAAGTGGCTTCAAGACATAGCACAGACGCTGTGACTTCTGAGTCCACCTGCTTCCCCTCGGCCCACCTCCCTCAGAACCTCCAGGTCTTCTCGTTTGCATACAGTGGGTGAATGGAGCTGAGTGGCCAGAGTGAAACAAGTGCCCCGCTTCTCAGAGAACCCTACGAACTTCTTAAACTCTTTTTAAATGAGATGACCCCACCCTTCTCTGAATTCTTAAAAAGAGAGTTGTTCCGTGAAATTGCCTTTCATACACTTGTCAGAAGATTAATGACAAATCATGGCTAGTTGTCCCTCGGTATTTTAAATAACCCTAAGATGAACACAGTAATGGAATTCGGAGAAATGGAGGGAATTCCTAAAAACAAATGAGCAGGCTGTGGGACATCACGAACTGTCGAGATCACTCTTCTTCCCTGAGAGGCGGAGTGCACGCTCAGCCACACGTATTAATTGATGCAGGGAGGCTGGCTGTCAGCAGCTACTGAAAATCTGCTACAGCACAAACAAGCAATTTCTCTACTCCACACAAGTGGGGACCTTTTCCGTGTATTTACCCCATGAAATGGCAGGTCTTCATTAGGAGATTGTTTTTGGATGATAACATTTCTATGGAGATTTTCCCCCTCAAGTATAAAAGTAATGACTTTTTATGTTGTTTAGGTATTTTAATAATATTTTATTTTATTTAAAAAGTAATGATTTTTATTTTGAAATCATCCTCCCAGAGATAACCACTGCTAATATATCAGCATATATATATATATATATACACACACACACACACACACATATATACATACACACACACATATATATACATATTCCCAGTCTTTCTTCTGTGAGCATGTGGGGAAATATATATTAGAAAAGAGGTCAAACATTTCTATTTTCTATACCCAGTTTTCTTTTTCCTTTTCAGATGTTTCCATATCATTAAAATTTTTAAGATTAAATAATATTTCATTGTATGCCCATTCAATGATCTAGTTTGATAATCCTTTATGATTTGATTTCTTTTTCTTTTTTTCAATTTTCTCTTTTTATAAATAGCACTGGGGGATTCTTTTTGTACAGATTGTTTTTTGCACACATCTCTTCATTTGGAATAGGTTTTTAGAAGTGTATTTTGCAATTCAAAGTGGATCTACAGTTTTCAGGCTTTTGATAAATATTACCTCTAGAAAGATTATACTAATTTACACTCAGAGGCAAGGTGCCAGTCCCGTCTCTACCACTGAGCAGCAGGAAGTATTTGCAAACTTAGTGATACCATCTTGAAATCGCACAGGGTTGGGACAAAAATAAAATATTTTCTCTATAAATACTTTGAAAATTGAAAATTCTATTAAAACACACATTGGCATTATTACCTATTTTTAAACCACACAAGGCAAACCAGCATTACCTCTCTCAACCACATATTCCAATGATTAACAGCCTTTTAGAAAATAATGTCATTAACAACTTCCCTCTAAATGCAACTGACACCCAGTAAATTTCACTTATTCAAAACCATTTATTGAGCACCTTCTATGCATTGCGCTTTGTATTAAGTATGAGGAATACAGGAGAGAAAAGTAATCAATAAACTTCCAGCCTGGAAGGGTGCGGAGAGAAAGAGATACATCAGGAATCATTATCAGTTCTAAGATAGGGTCATATCCTGGGTACCCTGTAGGCTGGGCATCCCCCATGGTGAAGATACCCAAGGGAGTCCCTGCCTGAAGGAAGGAAAGTGGAAACTGAGAATGAGGAGGCAGCTGGGCTATTGGTTGGATGGCCATGTGCCAATCTTATTGCTTCTGAAACAATATTGAGAAGTCACATTTTTCTTGCAGCTATATACATACACAGAAAAGGAGCCTTTTCTGGGGGGGTATAAAGACTTCAACATGCCACATGGTGGGAAAGCTAGGTCCTCCATGAGGTATACTTTGGGGAACACTAGATGGTTATAATTTCTCTAGCAATTGCCCTGGCATTTTTAGTCAGTGAGATATGCAGGCTGGGTCTGGGAGCAGAATTGCTTGGAGTTGTAGATGGGACTTTAGAAGGGTGTAGAAGGAAGATAGAGGGGCAAGATATGGCAACTGGACAGGGAGAGGAACTTTGGAGGGAATGACAGAGATGCCTAGCAGAGGTCTGCTGTGAAATGGGCTACCTGCCTACCCACAAGATCCGTGCCCTTGTTAGCACATGAAGTGATGAAAGGCTGTGTGTCACTTCCAGATGGACAGAGAGTGAGAACTAGGCTGCGTGTTGGAGGCTGGCACACCTGGGTTACTCATCCTTCATTCTGTAGCGTGTAAGTGCTACTCTGTGCTCAGGAGACTTCTATTAAGCAAGACCTCTCCTGGTCTGCACAGGAGCTTAAAGTCAGCACTACCTGCTGCTCTTCCCATACTGACCCACTGGGTCCACTTGGGCTCCATGTGCTTGGCACATACACAGAGCTTTAAAGAAAAGGTGGAGATTGAAATGAGGTTTCTTAGACAATCAAGGACGTTCAGAAATGCACTCCAGAAATCCAGGTGTGGATTAGCTCCCCTGCTTAGGCACACCCATGAAAAGCATCCCAAGCTATTTGTATTTTGACTTGTAAATAAATTGACAATTAACAGAACTGCAGGTACCAGCAAAGCAACAAGCTCATCTTCCAAATCATATTGTTTTGTGGTAATATTAAAATTAATTTCTGTCTCTAAAGCTGAGTTGAGAGACATGGGAATGTGACAATAGGCTATCTACCAGGCTAAGGATGGGAAATTATTATGGGTAATCTTTCAAGAGTGTTTACAAAGATAAGAAAAAATTAACCTTTTGGATGATGACTTCTTAATCTTTGGTTTTCTTTCTGTGGTCTCAGAGAGGGTTGCCTGGAAGACATAACATCAGTTATATGTTGTACAAAGAGGTGATGTTATTATTGTAAAGCAGTAGTCAACAGTGACTGACTAGGTTCTTACAGGCCAATGTCATGGAGGCCAAACGTACAAACATTTGCTTAGGCCCACTCTACTTCCATGTACCAATACACTGGCACAGGAAGCCTGGCAACTGTTGTACATCTTTATTGATGCTCACAGATGGGATGGTGGACTTATGAAGAAATCTAGAGAGAGATCTTTTTATAATTGAGAATAGCCATAGCCCTTGCCTTTTAAGATGTTAAGCATATCATGTCATATTTTCCTAAGTGCAGTTGTCTTACTTTTGGATACAGAAATGTATCATTATTCAAAGTTCATTTATCCAGCAACCACATCTCAGTTGGCTTTGTCACCATCTGTCCCTGAGTTTAAATT